GGAGTTTAGCAAATTGTCTTTAAAAGTATCCTTATCCAGGGAGCGCACGTTCCTACAGCGAGTAATCTTCACATTTGGACTGGGTATTGAGAGGTCCAAGCTCACAAAGATATGGAAATGGTCAGAGAGCTGTATATCCTATACAGATACACAACTGACACACGCGTCTGAAGCACGGGTAACTATCCATTCCGGAGTGTGTCTACCTCTGTGGCTTGCCTCTGACACAAGTTATACACGGTTGTGGACTTCAAGAAGATTAAGTATTCGTTTTGTGTCATGGTTATCCTTGTTGTCAAAATGGAAACTGAAGTTGCCTACGATGATAAGAGCTACTTCGTCAACTTATCCAGTCTGTGCTGAGACGGTGCCGAGCAGTAATTGCTGCCAATGGTGGCCATACAAAGAACTGACAGAAACACAACAGTAAAGGCTTTGTCTATAGACGTTTGAATTTTCACCTTTTTACCATTGGGATTACATGAAATAATTGCTGTTAAACTAACGCAAGAAATTCTTCTTAAAAATGGCCTATGCGTTTCTTACTTGGAAGAGTATATTTCTGGATCGCAGTTTCCTGTAAAGACCTCTTCTATGGTTGATAAACAGGGTAAGAAGTAAATTCCTTTTTCATATTGTACTAGTTCTATATAAAATATATGCTTTGTGCAGAAACGGGGGTTTTATTCATCATTATGACTTTTAGAGCTAAAAATAATTAGTTTATGTAAATTTAAGACTAAAAGCAACCTAAAAAGATCTGGTGACTTACAGCATATGAGAAATATATTCCTTAACAAAATATGCATGGTATTTGATGTTAAAACCATTGTTTAGTTTCGGGTTTTTGCAACTTTTTCAGTTCCCGGTTAAATTTTGACGGCCATCTTGGATTTTGAGCTAAAAATAGCTTTCGCATTCAGATTGGAACCAAACATTTTTTTAAACTCCTTTAACAAATAAACACACAAGAATATATGATTTGCTTTCATCAAAAAACTTTCACGGAATCCCATAAGCTACTTGACTAATGAGTATAAATTACTGCCTTCTGTTATAATTTACGCTGAGGGGGTCGTTGTCGGCACGGGTACTACACTTGTGTACCCCAGGTACATTTAGAAATGTACCCTAGCCAAAATCAGAATACAGAAACGTACCCTTGGACGATTCCATTCTGCATTGTGGAGTTTTCTTCATCGGAACGGTCATATTGTAGTATTAATGTATGACCAGAAATTATTGAGAATTTTAGGAATATGTTTAATTGGATTTCTAGTATAAACAATCTTGACCAGCTATCAAGTGATTGGTTTCATTCAAGAGAGACAACTCCGTTAATCCTTTTTCATTAGTTTGTGAAGAGTTATCCCCCTTTGTTTACTTGCTAGCAGACGACATTTTCAGTGATCCTCAGTATGGATGATTTAGAGATGAGGAAGTTGATTTTAGAGTATTATAACAAGAATATCAGATCAGCTAAAGTGATTTCAAGTAGAAGAGCCATCCCTTTGTCCACTGTTTATCGTGTTTTGAAAAATATTGCAAGTGGATATGGCATTGAGCACCAGGGAGGCGCAGGCAGGCCCAGAAAATTGACTGTCGGTGACAGGAGGCGGCTTGGTATTCTTGTTTCTAAAAACAAACGAAGGAGTTTAGAAAACTTAAGGCTGGATATGATTGATAGAGGAACTGTGGCTGTTTGTAGGGAGACAATTTGAACTGAGCTGCATGCAATGGGTTTGCAGAAACGTCGAGGAATTCCATCACCGATCATGAAACCTGAACAAAAGGAGCGAAGGTTGAACTGGTGCTTACAGCATAGAAATTTTAACTGGGACAATGTGATTTTCTCAGAAGAAAGTACTGTGTGGCTGTTTCCTAATACACTGAAATTCTGGACCAAAAAAACCTGAAAAACCTTTGTATCAGCACCCAAAGTACAGTCCGAAATTTAACGTGTGGGGTGGCATATCTGTGTTAGGGGCAACGCTCCTCTGTGTATTTGAAGGGAATATGAACAGTGAGCGGTACACAGATATTCTCGAGGGACATTTACTTCCATCTGCTCACGTGTTCTATGGAAAAAAATTGATTTTCCAGCAGGACAACGACCCAAAACATTCACAGGCCTGGTTTCGGACCCAAAATATGACATTATTAGATTGGCCAAGCTATAGCCCTGACCTAAATCCAATAGAAAATGTTTGGGGACTTATGAAGGAAAGTGTCAATAAGAAAAATTTGACAAATATTGCTGAAATTAAAAGAAGAGGTGGTCCGATATTGGGAAAGCATGGACCACGACTTTCTAACTTCTTTGATCAGTAGTATGCCCCGCCACATTGAAGCCTGCATTGAAGCCCATGGTGACTTGACAAAATACTAACTGTTCACCTGTCTTTGAATCTGGAGTTATGTTCTGTTAATATTCACATTTAATACGTGAGTAATGAGTGAAAAAAAATAAAAATACAATCTTTAAATTCTCAATAATTTCTGGTTGTACTGTAGATGCATTTGATATCGTTATATAAGAGCATACACAGTAACGAATGTGTCACGGTGCACAACGTACACCACTCGCAATCAGCTGAACGGGAACAACTACATACGGTTTCGGTTTGGGGTTGCGCATGGACTCGTCCGTCGTTTAGGGTACCGGGTACGTTTCTGTAGTTTGTCTTTGTTTAGAGTACATGTCTGTGTACAGAAACGTACCTTGGGTACATATCTGTAGTACCTTTGCCGACAACGACCCCTTCAGCATAATTTCAGGGATACTCTACAACAGGGATAGGTCACTCGCTTGCTTTCTTTACCATTTGTACTAATTAACGTGTGCCTCGTCATGCTCTCAACGCACACAGTGACTTGGTTCGGTCCCAGCGCAACTTCGGCTGCGTTTAACAGTACTTCAGCCAGTGTATTGTATAGGTCGGAATTTTACAATGAATGAATGAATGAATTAAGAGCAAGAATTTTATGTGAATGAATGAAAGAAATTAAGAAAAAGAACAAAAGAAAAAGAACATATGTGAATGAATGAAAGAATAAATGATACACCACGGCCATCCCTCCCCAAACATGTTAAAGAACGCAAAACTATCGGTAGAACACATGTTAACATCAGCTGTCCTTTTATAAAAAATCTACTTTGAGACATTTTTTTACATTAGTAACTAATTCAGATATCTTATTGCATGTGTGGAATGACATGGGCATTGACAGAATGTTAACTGACACTGTCACAGACCCCTCAAGAACAGAAAGTTTAGAACTATCACAAAGCCTTGCAAACACCTTTCCAGTTTTGTCAAATACTAAGATCAACAAGAAAGAAAGAAGTTTTAGAACTATAACACTCAAGCATCACAAGCACCAATGGCGTATCAGAACAGATCGGCGATATGTCATATTTTTCACACACCTCAAATACACACTAACAAAAAAAAAAAATAAAACTATCACTATTACTTGCAAAAAACTTTCACCTGATGGTATATTCCCCTCATAAAAATTAAAGGTGTATGTGAAAGATGTTTTAGAACAATAACTAGAAACACTCAAACAACGCCCTGTAGTATTTCAATGGCAGATCGGCGATATGTCATATTTTTCACACACCTCAAATACACCCTAACAAAAAATTTTTAGTTATAAAAATATCACTATTACTTGCAAACACCTTTTAACAAAAGGTATATTTCCCTTCTAAAAATTAAACGAATATGTGAAAGAAGTTTTTAGCGATATAAGTTAGTCTTTCTTCGCTGTGTACTGAGAATTGAAGCCAGTGAGCTACAACATGCCCACTTGAAACTTTACTACAAAGCTACTGTACTTATACTGACACTAATAACAAGTATTTGACTTAAAATGAAGTGACAGAATAGGTAACTTATCTTCTACATGTAGGTTTTCAGTTGTCACAACACTCAGCGTATGTAATCAGCTGTTGAAAATAAACCGGGCTCAATCTTAAAAACTACGCTGCCGCCATATTGGCTGCACTGGTCACGTGACGAGCCGAGGCATAGCTTAGGAGCTTCCGAGGAGTGACCACTCCCCTGCTTATAGAGTCTCTACTACTAATTCTCAATACGCCTCCTTAGTTACCGGATGTAATAAAAGCAGATATGATAAAGATTAGTTTAGTTCCATTTATAAATATGTGGCAGTCGCGTAATTCCTGATGTTGACTCAAGCTATGCGACGAAATATGTTTTCCGAAATATTTACTTCACAACACTTGATTTTCGCATGCTTTCAGACGATAAGTTTACTGATAGCATTCTTGACATAATATGTGTACATTCATCACGATTTCCTCTTTTGCTTGGTATCAAATTTATTGGGCTACGGTTGGTATTTATTTATTTTAATGCTGTTTGGCGTAACCCCCATATTTGCGTCGTTTTTATACTGAACATTTACATTACCACGTAGCAGACGACATAACATTCGTTTTGTTTGTTAATATGACACGAATTTATTTTTAAGTCATTCTGTAAAGTTTGTAACTCTTATTCATGTTTAAACCCTTTTTGTATGAGTTATATATTTAACTTTTGATGAGTTTTCGCTCTCACAGTAAGGCTGAAGGGGTCGTTGTCGGCACGGGTACTACAGATGTGTACCCCAGGTACGTTTCTGTATACAGAAATGTATCCTAGCCAAAATCAGAATACAGAAACGTACCCTTGGACAATTCCATTCTGCATTGTGGAGTTTTCTTGATCGGAACTGTCATACTGTTGTATTAGATGCATTTGATTGCGTTATATAACAGTAACGAATATTTCATGGTGCACAACGTACACCACTTGCAATGAGCTGAATGGGAACAACTACATACGGTTTCGGATTTGGGTTGCGGAATATGGACTCGTCCGTCGTTTAGGGTACCGGGTACGTTTCTGTAGTTTATCTTTGTTTAGAGTACATGTCTGTATACAGAAACCTACCTGGGGTACATATCTGTAGTACCTGTGCCGACAATGACCCCTTCAGCCACAGTAAGTCAAACCATAGACCATGTGGTCAAACCTCATTTTTAACTTTGTTCAGTTACATCTGTATCACCTAATCAGTTGAAGAAAAATGTACATATTTCGCGATTATTATTTATTGTGATGATTATGCTTGTAGAAATAGTCTGTATTTATCATGACTACAATTGATATATATCTCTATTTTTATCAATATTCTTCATAATAATGTTTGATTACAAGTTATATTTTCTTGGGTTAGACAGTAAAATTTAGATAACAATAAAGTCATTATTCAACATTTTATTCATATCAATACATTATTTATGTCATGAAACTATCATTTGTTTTGTAGATGCCCAGGAAAAAGAAAGTTTTTATTGGCAGTCGTCGGAAGGGCTACTCAAAGAGAGGTCCGAAACAACATGGTGTCAGTTCTTCCTTTATCTACGACCATTCCTATTCATCAATTCAATCAACTGTACTTGATGTTTGCAGGTAAGTCATAATGGAAGTAGGATATTCACAATTGATGCATTTCCGTGAAGATCCGGGGTAGAATAGGTCTTCAGCAACCCATGTGCTTGCCATAAAAGGCGACTATGCTTGTCATAAGACAAAGTCGTCTTCTGTTGTTTGTTCATGCAAAGTGATACAATGTTGTTTTCTTACCCCTGGAAAAAAGTTTGATGAAAGCATAACTCATGGATAAGACGACCCCCTTCTACAGACTGCTTTTTTTGGTCCCAAAATTTGGCTTATAGACGGTCATATACGGTATTTAGGACACTTAATAATATTTTTTCTTAAGTATTAATATTGTGTATATATTTTTTCAGTTCAAGAGATGTACTGTGGGACAGAGCATGGAAATCTTTCTTCATTGACCTCACTGATGAACCCATAGGTATACCTTGCCTGGAAGAAGCGATAGATTCTGATGGTTGCTCGGCTGATGAATTCTTTGTCATTTTGGACACAATTCACCAGTATCATCCGGATATCAATTTAGATGAATTTGTTGATGGCATTCTGCAATACCACAGATACCAGCAATATTTAACATTGAAAAAGGAGCTGTTACATCATGCAGATGAGCTTGGCAATTTTACAATTTTAAGAAACAAGCGAGAAGAAGTTAATATTGTGCAGTGTTATGACAGTGATGTAGCCGCAGTTCACCTTTCTGTTGTCATCAAGCCATCATTTGCTGCAACAATATATGCACATCGACATCATATTGGCCCAAATCATGAATTCTGGATTGGTTTACCTGAATTTTTCTCCAATCTTAGAGATGTGAAGAAACTTTTGTTAAAACTGTCTACATACAGTGTTTGCGTAGGGAATTATGAAGACAGATTCAAACACTTGATTCCAATTGGTTCAGGCTTAAGTGAAACAGCCACTTCGACTATATCCGCCTACAAAGAAGGAGATTTTGGAGCCAACATTAATGGAATTGCGTATACTTCCACCATCCGGTCTCAAAAGTGTCAGTTCCTTGTTTCTCAGAGAGAACGTTGTAGCCATTGCTGTAAATACAGAGCCACGCTCCGAGCAAATGCCAGACGAGTCAGCCTTTCCCAGAAAAAACAGAAACTAAATGCAATCAGGCACACGACACATAAGAACATGTCAAAGAATGAAGTTATAGAGAAGTACCAAATAATGAAAAGCAGTCGAAATTCCATTCAGCTTGAAATGGAGCGATTAAAGAAAACGATCAACAAGAATATTACCCAGAAAGGTCTTCCTAGAGTCTGATTCAAAAGCTCTATGAAGCTGCTGTTTGTGACCTGCGATGGGGCACCAAACCATGAGTTCTTCAGCCTACATAAAGTACCTCAGCTGAATAATTTCTACTGGAGATTGAATCACTACAGTCATCCACTCAGGAAGCTGTACTTGATTTCTGATGTTCCTCATCTTATCAAAACAACCAGAAACTGATTTTCCTATTCAGGATCTCATAAAAAAGACCTGAGATCTATTTGAAGAACATGTAGAAATCGCTATGTTTTGCAAGACCTGCGAGGTTACAAGAGACCATATAGACTTGTCATCATGCACAGCCATTAAAGTCAACTTGGCTGCACAAATATTTAGTAACTCCATGGCAGGTGCTCTAGAGAAACTATATGGGGACCCATACCTTCTTAATGACTTCTTGGAATTTTTTCAAATCCTGGGAGGATAGTGTTATGCAATGGCCTTGGCAATTTACTTTGCCACAAAGGAAACGTATGATGCTCAGACACCAAATACTGAAAGGACTAAGAATATCTGTACGTTCAAGGGTAGAACGTATGCGATTCATGCTTGCTGCTGGTGTAGAATTTGTTTTCACTCAACAATTTAACCAAGACCCTCCAGAAGAACAGTTTGGACAATTTAGACAGAAAGGCATAAAGGCTCAAAGACAATCCCTCAGTTAATGCTGTCAAACAGAACTTCACAGATGAAGGCTACTGGTTCATCTGTGCTTCAACCAATACGTGGCAACATATCGAACAAGAGGCCACGTCCCACCGTGGCTATTGATTCTACAGCACTCACTATACGTAAACAGATGCATGTGTAATGTGCTCTGCTTTGAAAGTTGAAGTGCCATAAATGCAAGGGTAGTTTGAGGAAATATTGTTAACGATTTGTCATCGAGAAATCCTTTGTGTACATCAACATATTCTCTTAAAATATATATAATTCTCAGAAAGCACACCCATCTTATTACTCTGGCTACATGCAAGAACAGTGAGTCAGAGCATATTTTGCTTTGAGTGTTTTACCTGTGTCAGTCTAACGAAGCACTACTCAAGGACAGACAAATTAATAATCTCAAGATTCAATCTACCATACCACTGGAGTACCACTCCGTGAAAGTATCAATTGTAATTATGGCATTGTAACTTTAATGTGTTGAAGATTGTTTACATAGGAAGATGACGAGCAGAATGGGGAGGTTGATATACTACACATCAATGATATATAAATACCCATATAATATAATGATAATATGTAGGGCTTCCACGGGTCATCGAGCACAAGTGAGGTTTAGCTGGACTCAAGTCCCATAAGGGGAGATAACTCTAATTAGGTTATGTTGTCAGACTGTCTGCCATGTGCTAAACACGAGCGACAGTTAACGTCTGACATACATCGTTTCAGACTTCACTTCTTATGATTAGGTAACTATCTTGTTGACAATTGACAGACGTGGAGAAAGATAAAAAATAAATAAAATTGGTGTATTTTGATCTGGACAGTGCAAAGAAAAAAACAACAAGAAATGCCGTCTGTGCGGTATGTCACTGCGTTATGCAAGGAGTACAACCAGTACTATGAATAAGCATTTGTCATGTAAACAGAATTTAGCTGTTTATTATCAGATGTTAATGATGATGACAACATTCACAAGTATGCCAGAGTTGAGTATCATGAATATCTATATGCCCCTGACAAGCTGTCTGGGTTGTCAATGCTCAAAGCGTTAACTTTTGGCTGGTGGCCATAAAAAGAGGTGGAGGGTAGCCCAGTGGTTAAAGTGTTCGCTCCTCACGCCGAAGACCCGGGTTCGATTCCCCACTTCGATTCAATGTGTGAAGCCCATTTCTGGTGTCCCGTGCCGTGATAATGCTGGAATATTGCTAAAAGCGGCTTAAAACTAAAACACACTCAAAAGAAACTGCTCTGGGCTTTGTAATTAAAATGTATATGTGTGCAGACTTGGTCTCGTCGCTACATGGCTGAAAAAATGCCGATGCGAAATTTCAACTCGCTCACTCCAATTTTAAATGCCAACTTATTTCCACAAAGTGCAACATTGACTCAAGGAAATCTTTGCATACCCGGTACAAGTGTACCATCCGAGACAGCTTTCTCTACCACCGGTCTTGAATTCAATTGTCCATCAATATCAATTAAAATTGTTCCTTTTAACAGTCTTGTATTCAATGAAACGCGCGCTGATTGTAAGTGTTCATTTAATTGGTTCTCCATTATTCACTAACAACCAATGGCTGATTATGTCTGCATCACGTGATACTCATAATGCACCCATGAACCCATGGCGGCAAAGTCGCCACGTCTATAATAGTCCTAATAGTCCTGTCATGCCAGTAAGTAAATTAGTAATACGTAAAATTCCCGAGAAATTAAATCAATCAATATAATTTTGAGTATGCACAATCAAGCATATCGTTTTTATTAATTGGTAGTCTTTGATTTTACATTACTCTAACAATGGAAAATGAGTCACATGACGATATCAAGTCAGAATGAAGTAAGTGTTAATTTGCATGATTGGAACGCATTTCATGCATTAAACTGTAATGGATGGTTTAACAACATATATGCGTAATTACCAATTTCAATATTGATGAAACAATCATTGTACGTGTATTGTGTTATCATACTGTTATGTCATGCCAGTTACTGGAAAGGTATGAATTTCGGGTTCTCGGGTCCAAGTCCAATCTGACTCCTCTACTGCTTGAGTCCAAGAAAATGGACTCGTTGAAGCCCTAATAATATGTAATTTATTATTTTGTTGAACATGTTCATTTTGAATGAATACCACTGGCCCATCTTCAAAGATACAGATCATTATAACATATTTTTTTCACTTGTAGCAGATGAGTTGTTTATTTTGTTGTCTCTGATATGATTGGGTAACATGCTTCACATGAGCAAACCCTTTCAAACGGAAACCTGTTTATCACTGCTTGAAATGTGCAACAAAACAATGGCACCATTGATAGCTACATCACTATGATGAAATATATTAGGGGTTGCTCAATAAAGGTCCATGTGTATACTATGGTGCTGCAAGAGATATCACAATTTGATTTGTTTTGTGTTCACTCAGAATTGTCGTCTGCCAATAGTGACATTTGTTATGTTAATGGTATTGATTACATTGAATCATGTCTTATTTCAACTAACATTTGAATGATATTAAATTCTTACAGGTTATGTGAATGCAAGAACAGGGTGTGAAGCACTGCTTCCGACGTGCATTAAGTATACCCAGAACTTCGAGGAACACTGAAATGAATGACTTGGGTAAATATCTGATAACGATGGTGTACACTTGAAATACATATTTTAAATGGTCGTTTCCATGGCAGTTTTACTTGTTTTATTATTTCTTATGTCCATCAGAACTTTTTGTTTTCTTTGAGTTTATGGTACACAGAATCAAAAAAGGCTCCTATCTCGTGGTCTTTTAAGTCTAATTATAAATCTGAACAAGTGAAAAAATGAGTATGGCAATACAGTTGGTAAGTATAGATGGGAGTCACAACATTCAAATGTTTTTATTTCAAAGCCTCTGTGATACACTTACACAGTGTCCAGTGGAAGAGTTGTCACAATCTGTACAGAAGTGTGCTCAACAAAATTAGATGGTTGTTTATTCATCAAGTAAACCCTGCTTACCTACTACGTCAGTTTTGTTTCAGTCATAACAAGTATAGAGAACTCTATGTATGTATCGGGGCTGTGGGGTAGCCTAATGGTTAAAGCGTTGGCTCGTCAGGCCGAAGACCCGGGTTCGATTCCCCACATGGGCACAATGTGTGAAGCCCATTTCTGGTGTCCCCCGCCGTGATGTTGCTGGAATATTGCTAAAAGCGGCGTAAAACCAAACTCAGTCAGTCAGTCAGTCTATGTATGTACCACATACTTGAAGAGATTCTGGCCGTATATTAAAACTATAATACAAAATCCATCTTCACCATGTATATCTGGTACTAATTCTCAATGGAGTACTTCAAATAGTTTTCAATATTCATGGACAAATCGAAGAATCATGTTACCTTTAATGTTTTGCCAGAAGCTGTTTCACATGGTTATAATATTGATAATGATAATGGCACTGATGCTATTTAAACAGTACGATAACAAGGGAAGAAATAATATTAGCTATAATTGATTTAAAATGTGGAGTTGGCACAAGTTGGAAACAACTGAACAATTTCACACAACATTTTGGGTGGCACCCCATTAGTCCTACGACCCATTAGTGATATGCCATAAATAGACACGTCATGGTTGATTGCTCTTACATATGAACCCTTAGTACCTCTGTGGAATGATCCATATGAAACGACCACAAAAAGAACTTTAAACAAGCAGATTTTAAAACTTTTTTAGCATAAAACATTTCTTCAGTACTTCTGATTTTGTATCAGGGAAAATCAACTCATATTTTACACCATACAGTCGGTTTCACTGCCTAGAGCTCTGGCGGATACAGATATCCAGCAGCGTCCAGAAAACCCCAGGGACGTTTTCTGGCTGGCTTGATGTTGGTCCCAGAGTCTGACGAGTCCATCTGTGCCATCTTTGCTGACTTGGACTTCTTGATCCTCTGGATTAGCCCGATGAACCTGAAGATGGGGTGGTTATGAGGCAGGGTCTTGTCCATTCAGTAATGGAACGCCTCCAGATTGTTGTTTGTTCGGGGTCCAAGATTACGATGGTGATTCCACAGGGCGATGGGGAACTTGACCCAGGGATCATGGATCCAGGTGGTGACGATTTTGCTTTGGGAATAATCAAGGTGTAGGTGATTTGTTTTTCAGTGACTTCAAAGAGAATTATAGCTTGCTACATCCAAACATGGCTTTCTAAGATCAGTGAACACTTGCTTGATTAAAGGTGTTAGCAACTACATCGAAACATCAAATCTTGTTGCAGTACATAAGTTGTCAATCCATAAAAACTGTTCTTCATCATACCAGCCTCTAAATGCCACTTAAAGAAGTAATAATAATGTCATTGAACATGAATTTTATTTTACAATCAAATGTCCTATTTATTATGATTTGAGAGAGAAATATTTTCCATCTATACGGTTTAAACAAAAGATGCACTTACCAGTATGTATACACTCAATTCTGAAGATTCATGTGCCTTAAGCGTTCCAAATATGTCAAAGAAGCTTTATGTACACATTCCTCATTGATGTACAGCTTTTGAACCACCACAGCGTGGTATATATTTATTCAGTGTATGAAATAAGGCCTGTCCGACTGCCCGAGACGGTCTAGATTTCTGACGGACGGTCTAAATTTACAGCTAGCCAGCCCGATGGTCTGGTAATTTTTTTCAATCACTTCACATCAACAACTTGGAATTCAGAGCAATGATTCTTGCGATCTTTCATTGGTACAGTGCTATGAGTTCGACCAACATCGTGATTCAAGTGGACAACCCCACAGTAATTCGATTCATCTATTACTTGGGATCAGTGGAAGTCCCAATCGTGCTGGGTCTGGAGAATTAATTTCTTTCATTTACTATTTACTAGACTCTCTTTATATGAAGGCCAGAGCCAGACACATTCTAAGGGTTCAGAATGTCATTGCAGCCGTCCTGACTCGCCCAGACCGTCCATCACCATAAAAAGGGAGACTCCATCCAGGGATCTTTCGTTCCGTCTGCCAGTGAGGAGAGACAACAACCAGTTACCCGGACAGCTGGATAGATTGTTCACTATTCTACTATTGCCCTCCATCCTCTAGCCTGATGACATTGAAGATCATTCACTCTGTCCAGTCAGGGCCCTACAGATATATATTTTTGCCTCGCAAGATCGTCGTAGGCTATGCAAGTGATTTTACATTCTGCTCAACACTGTCCTCTGGATGTGTACACACACAAGAAGAGATGAAATTGGGTTTAACGTCGTGTTCGAGAATATTTCGCTCATATGACGACGTGCATGCGTGTGTATGTGTAGGTGCGGCTGCTTGTACTAGCCCAGACTGAAGCTGGTTTTATAGTGCTAGCCCACTGAGACACCATGCCGCAGTGAAGCATGAATACCCACTCAGACACATTATACGGACTCCGAGCCGACCAGTCCTTGTTGTACCCATTAATGCCGTGCCAGGCAGGGACCAACAAGTACCATATATTTAACGTCTTTTGGTATGACGCTGTCGGGGATCGAACCCGCGACCTTCCACTCTCCAGTTGGATGCTTTAACCACTACACCACGGAGGTGGCCAAAAATTCTTCGGAAAAGTTCATACTAATTTTGGCCTCCAAATACTACTTTTTGCACGAGCTTTTCTCCAAAATACTAATTGGGCTAAATCAGGGTTGGGATCTCTGAGTTACCTACACGTTTGTGTATGCCATGAGTGAGTGTGTGTGAGCTTTTACGTGTATGCCATGAACTGCTGGAGTGTGATGTTTCTGCAAAGTTACCTACACATATTTGTGTATGCCATGAACTACAGCTGGAGGGTGATGTTTATGCTAAGTTACCTACACATATTTGTGTATGCCATGAACTACTGCTGGAGGGTGATGTTTATGTTAAGTTACCTACACATATTTGTGTATGCCATGAACTACAGCTGGAGGGTGATGTTTATGCTAAGTTACCTACACATATTTGTGTATGCCATGAACTACTGCTGGAGGGTGATGTTTATGCTAAGTTACCTACACATATTTGTGTATGCCATGAACTACTGCTGGAGGGTGATGTTTATGTTAAGTTACCTACACATTTGTGTATGCTATGAACTACAGCTGGAGGCTGATGTTTATGTTACGTTACCTACACATATTTGTGTATGCCATGAACTACTTCTGGAGGGTGATGTTTATGCTAAGTTACCTACACATTTGTGTATGCCATGAACTACAGCTGGAGAGGGATGTTTATGCTAAGTTACCTACACATTTGTGTATGCCATGAACTACAGCTGGAGGGTGATGTTTATGCTAAGTTACCTACACATATTTGTGTATGCCATGAACTACAGCTGGAGGGTGATGTTTATGCTAAGTTACCTACACATATTTGTGTATGACATGAACTACTGATGAAGAGTGATGCTTTATTTACAGTTTATACATAAGCAAGCCTGTGAAACTATCATGACTTTTTTTTAGATGCGTTGTGCAGGACAATGTGAGACTTGAGGGCTGGCATTGTTGAGAATGTCTTGGAGCACTTGTGACACCTGAAACACACAAAAATATATCAAACTGGGGCTGTTGAAGATGCCCAAAAATACAATGACAGGTTCAGGGTGGGTGGGTCTTCTGTTACATGTTATATGCTGGATCATTTTGACCTCCAGAATGCTGCTTCATATTGTCCTTGGAAGGGTCAATGCACAGTACTGCCAATGTCTGAATCAAGCTGGCCCACAGTTTCACTTTCAAGACAATGTGGCTTGTGCCCAAGGTGCATGATTGGCATGTATTGCAAATGACTTACAGGAATTCTATGATTATAAAACTTTGACACTTTCCTTAGAAATATATACCATGAAGCAGTAACAATGTATTGGAAAGATATTCTAAGTTTTGTTGTGTTTTCTTCGTAAAAGACAATTTTTGATGACCTCAGAATATGTTCATGTCATGACAGCTAGAGTTATCTTTCAACAACATAGAGTATGGTCTTCTTGATCCAGTGACAGGATGTCACGTCAAAACAGCTTCATACTAAAACATGTGTTTCATTTCATATCTATCCACTGTTATATGGTTGAAACTTTACTGTGACCTAAATGTTTTACTCACTCATCTAGGCCATTCTTGTAAATATCACAATACCTTGATGTCAGTAAAAGGTAATTGTAAACCCCTATCCAGGCAATTTATTATCCTGCTAACAAAACAGACACATGATTTTATTCATACTATAACTGATTTAGTTAGTATTCCTCTCTTCCACTATACTTTAGGCAACTCTCATACAAAATATGATCAGTCTTCAACTGTTAAATGGTTCGAGACTGTTCATGACAGGCAGTGAGAAGGAAGTGTAGTCATACCAAGATGTCAGTACCTCAGCTCTCTCTTGAGCATTTGCTCATTCTCAGTTGTGTTTGTCTCTACTCTCCCCAATTCTTCCAGCTGGTCTATGATATCTGAAACAAACCCATCTCACATCTACTACTTTTCAGTCATTACATAACACATTTTCCCGATTTCAGACTCATATATCTTATAGGTCATACAAACAAGCAGGGTTCATACAGATGTTTGGACTCTAAATCATAGCACTTTCAAGGACCACATTATTCATAATAGAATATTTTTACTATAAGTTTATATTTATAATACTTATCCTATCTCACATGGTGCACTTTCTCTTGTTCTTCCTTCCATGAAGTGGAAATGACCGAACCTAAGTTTTCAGCCTCTTGTAAGACCTTGCCTGAACACAGCCCAGCTCCAACTATTGTTGTAGGTTGTCACCAGATGTGCCTGCAGAGCATGCATCTTGCTTGGAGTTGCAAAGAGCTCCACCTGCAAATTTGCAATCTTCAGGCAGATTGAACGAGAGATCTATGGTTTGAGTCTCCATTCAGTTAGTGATAGACGATTTCGGTGAGACAGAGCATTTGTTTTGATGTTCTGAAATCCATTGAGTGTGTCTGGCTCTAACCATGATGTGAAGAGAATCTCTCAGATGAAAGAATTGGATCACCAGATGAAACACTGGGTTGATCCCATCCAATTAATGTACCACACTACTGCTGCATTGTCGAATTTAATGAGGTTGGGGTGACTGCTATAATCACTGTTTTGAATTCCGAATTGTTGATGTGAAACAATTCATCAAGTAGATGAAGTTCCGTAGAGTAAGACTCTGATCTGGGCATCGTAGACCGCTAGTGCTGGTATTGGCATTCAACCTATGATACGATATATCACGGTACTACAAGTTTAGTCACGACGATATATTGCCAAAGTATCGTGCACTGAAGCTGCGATACAATACGAATCCCGATGTAAGGGTGGCGATACGATACGTATCACGATACTAAAATCTTTAATTCTAACACCAACTATAAAACACCTCAAGATCAAAACAAAACCAATTTTTTAAAGTATTTCGTCAAATTCCGCCAGTGTTGTTCAATGTTCATTCGGAAACGAGATAATAAGTTTATACACAGACTTTGTGAAAGTTGATAACATGCAAGCGCTATGTCTGGCACAGTTATTGACGCAAGAATTTCCGAGAAAACGTTTACTTATGAAGGGAAAATAAGTAAACATATATTTTAATCCTTAAACAAACGAAGTCTTTGTTCTTGACAGATATCGCGATTCGGCAATATTCAAAGTTAAACATCGATGTATCGTGGCTCATTTGAAGTATCATATCGGGATATACAACCATGTAAAACTTTGTATCGATTCACTGTATCGGTGGCCCATGGATCGATGCATTGATGCGTATCGATGAATCGTCACACCACTATGGACCGCAGGTACAAAGGTGGGATTAGTGAATGAAGAGGGTTTATCGAAAGTGGAGGCAGGTTTGAGGAGGACAGGACAATGTGACAGGAGATCCCAGAACAGACATCTGAGGAATCAGCAAGTAGCGGGTGGGCTGCTGCAGGTTTGTGGAGAGACTGTCGACTGAATACACATTCCAGCTGAAGATGAATTTTCTGTTTACAAAGTAGGATGTAAGAAATATCAATGAACAGCACGACTGAACAATTGGATGATTGTCGATAGAGTAGGGATCAGAAGGATTATTGAACCTGAGTGATCCAATGAGTTTGCCAATCCTTTCACAACTACCACTCTCAAAGGGACTGATAGTATGGGTGTCTGATGATTAGATGAAGGATCGGAGGGTCAGAAGAGATGTCGATGATTGTTCAGCTGGCCTTATTGAGGATTATTGTTGAGCTGGCAAACTGATCGTCATTGCAATGATTACAGATGCTGCAAGGTTTCTCCCAGCTGCAAGGTCTGATACAGTAAATGCAAGATAAATGAGGGGCGTTCTTCTACACCTGGCACAAACTTCCTCTTGCGTGATGCTGTGTTGTCTTTACCCATCCTCTTTCCCCTGCAAAACTTCTTTGTTACATAAGAGATTAAAAACAACAAGAAAGACAATGACTTCAGCTGGGTGTCACATGGCAGGTCAGATCAAAATGTATGCATTGCAACCTGGTGACAACCTACAACAATAGCTGGAGCTGTGGTGTGTGCAGGCGAGGTGTTACAATGGGCTGAAAATTTGGTTTCAGGTCATTTCCACTCCACAGTCTGAGTGAGTGAGTTTAGTTTACACCGCTTATAGCAATATTTCAGCAATATCACAACGGGGGACACCAGAAATGGGTTTCACTCATTGTACCCATGTGGGGTATTGAACCCGGGTCTTCGGCGTGACGAGGCAACGCTTTAACCACTAGGCTACCCCCTTCCCCCCCACGGTCTGAAGAGCAAGAGAAAGTACCTAACATGAGACAGGGTAAGCTTTAATAATGTAAGCATTAAAAGACATAATTCAAGCATGTTTTCCAAATTTATGGATGTGTTTCTGATGAGTGGTCCAGAACACTTTAAAATGTAATTCACTGGTCATGTATTTTAAAATGAGAACTGACATTTCATATTGATATGACCTGAAAGTTATGAAAACAGAGCTAAAGATAACTTTTGGGTCACTGAGTTATGTACTTGCTTGTGTTCATCTCAATTGGGTATCCTAATTTTCCTTTGAGTAACCAAATATAATGTACCCACCTCACTCAAATCAGTTGGTTTGTTTTCATTAATTGTAACAATATAATAAAGTTTAAATGTTGGTTTACGTGTTTGTTATTATTATTTGATCTGTAATATGAGAAACAATAAGAAAGACTGCAAGTTGCCAAGTTCATGTGCAGAAAAAGAATATCTCAATATGTCTCTGTTATTTGATCTGTCCTCGGTAATCTCTATCACATTTTTGTGTGTACGCATGTAAGATCAAATTTAATGAGTATTTTCAAAGGTTCACAGCGTACTTGTATGCAATAGACTTATTAGGAATTGAGTTTTCACATAAATATTTGTGTAATTTACGCAGATACGCAGCTTATCTGTACCTCTGTGAAAACATTCACAAGTGGAATCTTTCATCAAGTTCAGCTAAGACTGGCACAGAATAGGGCACAGATGCTCACACATAACCTGCGTGAAACTTTCAAAAAGGAAATTATCCTTATACCTTTGGAATCAATGAAATACTCAGTAGTGAAGGAGTTCCAGTGCTTCTTTGTCTTGAGAAAGGGGCTGTTAAAGTCCTGGCTGATCACATGCATGTGAAGGTGGCTGACAACACAACAAAGAGACATGAAGGCATTGACTCTTTACACCTGGCTGAGAAAACAAGCTAAACTGCTTCATTTTACCCAAGACGCATAGGAATCAGTATATACGTGGCAAGATGGATGACAGAGCTGGCTGTTTTGCACCACAAGTTAAACAAGCATTGTCACTAAGGTGACATAATCCCCCACCGCAAATTATCAAACCTATAAAGTAATGAAAGTTTAAGTTAAATGTCAACAAAAACATGACCAGTCAACCTCTCTTGATATCTTGCTCTTTAGGTGTTCAAACACACACATATTTTCAAGACTGACTTTGACCTTGACATGAATGTCATAGTGTATGAAATATGCAAAAAAAATAGTACTAAAGAAACTGCTTATTGAAAAACATTCAAGGGAAGTCTTGAAAGTCTATGAAGAAAATCCAGTGAACCGTTCTTGAAATATCTTGCTGCCAATTCAGGTTAACATGCTGAAATCTTCAAAGTGTCTTCGTGACCCTGAAAATTATGTGAAGGTCACCAAAATTGACTGGGCCCTGGGCCTTCCCTAGATGAAGCTTGGTGTCAAATATGAAGACACTCCAGTGAATGGTTCTTGAGGTATCACGCTGACAAGCATAACATGCAGGTTAATACGATGAAATCTTCAAAGTGTCTCTGTGACCTTGAAAAATAAGTGAAGGTCACCAAATTGACTGAGGCCTGCGCCTTCCCTAGATAAAGCTTGGTGTCACATATTTAGAAAATCCAGTAAACGGTTCTTGAGATAGCTTAACATGCAGGTTTACAAGCTGAAATCTTCAAAGTGTCCCCATGACCTTGACAATTATGTGAAGACCACCACAATTGACTGGACCCTGCGCCTTCCCTGGCTAAAGTTTGGTTTCAAATATGAAGAAAATCCAGTGAATGGTTCTTGAGATAGCTTAACATGCAGGTTAACATGATGAAATCTTCAAAGTGTCCCCATGACCTTGAAAATTAGGTGAAGGTCACCAAAATCGACTGGGCCCTGCGCCTTCCCGAGATAAAGCTTGGTATTGAATATGAAGAAAATCCAGTGAACGGTTCTTGAGATAGCTTAACATGCAGGTAAAACGTTAAAGTCCCCTTGTGACCTTGAAATGATGGTCAAGGTCACCAAACCTGACTTGGACTTTTCTTATACTGTGATGAACCTAGGTACCAAATATGAAAGGAACCTAGGGAACGGTTCTTAAGATATTACAATACGTATACGGACGGAGACTAAAAACAACCTTATAAAAGGCTGTGATCAGTGTGGCTTCAGGTCTCCACCAATGATGCAAGATCCCACTTATTATGCCTCATACAGCCCACATATAACAGTGAGGATGTAAGATCCAACTGATGTCTAATACAGCCCACATATAACAGTGAGGATGTAAGATCCAACTGATGATGTCTAGTACAGCCCACATATAACAGAGAGGATGCAAGATCCAACTGATGTCTACTACAGCCCACATATAACAGAGAGGATGTAAGATCCAACTGATGTCTAATACAGCCCACATATAACAGTGAGGATGTAAGATCCAACTGATGTCTAATACAGCCCACATATAACAGTGAGGATGTAAGATCCAACTGATGTCTAATACAGCCCACATATAACAGTGAGGATGTAAGATCCAACTGATGTCTAATACAGCCCACATATAACAGTGATGATGTAAGATCCAACTGATGTCTAATACAGACCACATATAACAGAGAGGATGCAAGATCCAACTGATGTCTAATACAGCCCACATATAACAGTGAGGATGTAAGATCCAACTGATGTCTAATACAGCCCACATATAACAGTGAGGATGTAAGATCCAACTGATGTCTAATACAGCCCACATATAACAGTGAGGATGTAAGATCCAACTGATGTCTAATACAGCCCACATATAACAGTGAGGATGCAAGATCAACTGATTAATACAGCCCACATATAACAGAGAGGATGTAAGATCCCAATGATGTCTAATACAGCCCACATATAACAGTGAGGATGTAAGATCCAACTGATGTCTAATACAGCCCACATATAACAGTGAGGATGTAAGATCCAACTGATGTCTAATACAGCCCACATATAACAGTGAGGATGTAAGATCCAACTGATGTCTAATACAGCCCACATATAACAGTGAGGATGTAAGATCCAACTGATGTCTAATACAGCCCACATATAACAGTGAGGATGTAAGATCCAACTGATGTCTAATACAGCCCACATATAACAGTGAGGATGTAAGATCCAACTGATGTCTAATACAGCCCACATATAACAGTGAGGATGTAAGATCCAACTGATGTCTAATACAGCCCACATATAACAGTGAGGATGTAAGATCCAACTGATGTCTAATACAGCCCACATATAACAGTGAGGATGTAAGATCCAACTGATGTCTAATACAGCCCACATATAACAGTGAGGATGTAAGATCCAACTGATGTCTAATACAGCCCACATATAACAGTGAGGATGCAAGATCCAACTGATGTCTAATACAGCCCACATATAACAGTGAGGATGTAAGATCCAACTGATGTCTAATACAGCCCACATATAACAGTGAGGATGTAAGATCCAACTGATGTCTAATACAGCCCACATATAACAGTGAGGATGCAAGATCCAACTGATGTCTAATACAGCCCACATATAACAGAGGATGTAAGATCCAACTGATGTCTAATACAGCCCACATATAACAGTGAGGATGTAAGATCCAACTGATGTCTAATACAGCCCACATATAACAGTGAGGATGTAAGATCCAACTGATGTCTAATACAGCCCACATATAACAGTGAGGATGTAAGATCCAACTGATGTCTAATACAGCCCACATATAACAGAGAGGATGTAAGATCCAACTGATGTCTAATACAGCCCACATATAACAGAGAGGATGTAAGATCCAACTGATGTCTAATACAGCCCACATATAACAGAGAGGATGTAAGATCCAACTGATGTCTAATACAGCCCACATATAACAGTGAGGATGTAAGATCCAACTGATGTCTAATACAGCCCACATATAACAGTGAGGATGTAAGATCCAACTGATGTCTAATACAGCCCACATATAACAGTGAGGATGTAAGATCCAACTGATGTCTAATACAGCCCACATATAACAGTGAGGATGTAAGATCCAACTGATGTCTAATACAGCCCACATATAACAGTGAGGATGTAAGATCCAACTGATGTCTAATACAGCCCACATATAACAGTGAGGATGTAAGATCCAACTGATGTCTAATACAGCCCACATATAACAGTGAGGATGTAAGATCCAACTGATGTCTAATACAGCCCACATATAACAGTGAGGATGTAAGATCCAACTGATGTCTAATACAGCCCACATATAACAGAGAGGATGTAAGATCCAACTGATGTCTAATACAGCCCACATATAACAGAGAGGATGTAAGATCCAACTGATGTCTAATACAGCCCACATATAACAGTGAGGATGCAAGATCCAACTGATGTCTAATACAGCCCACATATAACAGTGAGGATGTAAGATCCAACTGATGTCTAATACAGCCCACATATAACAGAGAGGATGTAAGATCCAACTGATGTCTAATACAGCCCACATATAACAGTGAGGATGTAAGATCCCAATGATGTCTAATACAGCCCACATATAACAGAGAGGATGTAAGATCCAACTGATGTCTAATACAGCCCACATATAACAGTGAGGATGTAAGATCCAACTGATGTCTAATACAGCCCACATATAACAGTGAGGATGTAAGATCCAACTGATGTCTAATACAGCCCACATATAACAGTGAGGATGTAAGATCCAACTGATGTCTAATACAGCCCACATATAACAGAGAGGATGTAAGATCCAACTGATGTCTAATACAGCCCACATATAACAGAGAGGATGCAAGATCCAACTGATGTCTAATACAGCCCACATATAACAGTGAGGATGTAAGATCCAACTGATGTCTAATACAGCCCACATATAACAGAGAGGATGTAAGATCCAACTGATGTCTAATACAGCCCACATATAACAGTGAGGATGTAAGATCCCAATGATGTCTAATACAGCCCACATATAACAGTGAGGATGTAAGATCCAACTGATGTCTAATACAGCCCACATATAACAGTGAGGATGTAAGATCCCAATGATGTTTAATACAGCCCACATATAACAGTGAGGATGTAAGATCCAACTGATGTCTAATACAGCCCACATATAACAGTGAGGATGTAAGATCCAACTGATGTCTAATACAGCCCACATATAACAGTGAGGATGTAAGATCCAACTGATGTCTAATACAGCCCACATATAACAGTGAGGATGCAAGATCCAACTGATGTCTAATACAGCCCACATATAACAGTGAGGATGTAAGATCCAACTGATGTCTAATACAGCCCACATATAACAGAGAGAGGATGTAAGATCCAACTGATGTCTAATACAGCCCACATATAACAGTGAGGATGTAAGATCCAACTGATGTCTAATACAGCCCACATATAACAGTGAGGATGTAAGATCCAACTGATGTCTAATACAGCCCACATATAACAGTGAGGATGTAAGATCCAACTGATGTCTAATACAGCCCACATATAACAGTGAGGATGTAAGATCCAACTGATGTCTAATACAGCCCACATATAACAGTGAGGATGTAAGATCCAACTGATGTCTAATACAGCCCACATATAACAGTGAGGATGTAAGATCCAACTGATGTCTAATACAGCCCACATATAACAGTGAGGATGTAAGATCCAACTGATGTCTAATACAGCCCACATATAACAGTGAGGATGTAAGATCCAACTGATGTCTAATACAGCCCACATATAACAGTGAGGATGTAAGATCCAACTGATGTCTAATACAGCCCACATATAACAGTGAGGATGTAAGATCCAACTGATGTCTAATACAGCCCATATAACAGT